TTGAATTGGATCTTCCAAAATGCACCACCTCGCATTTGCCTGGATTGAACTCCATCTGCCATTTCTCCGCCCAACTCTCCAATCTATCTATATTCTGCTGCATTCTCCGACAGTCCCCTTCACTATCTACTACTCCACCAATCTTAGTGTCATCTGCAAACTTGCTAATCAGACCGTCTATACCTTCCTCCAGATCATTTATGTACATCACAAACAACAGTGGTCCCAACACCGTTCCCTGTGAAACACCACTGGTCACAGTTCTTTATTTTGAGAGACTCCCTTCCACTACAACTCTCTGTCTCCTGTTGCCCAGCCAGTTCTCTATCCATCTAGCTGGTACACCCTGGACCCCATGCGACTTCATTTTCTCCATCAGCCTACCATGGGGAACCTTATCAAATGCCTTACTGAAGTCCGTGTACATGACATCTACAGCCCTTCCCTCATTTATCAACTTTGTCACTTCCTCAAAGAATTCTATTAAGTTGGTAAGACATGACCTTCCCTCTTGCCTATCACTAATAAGCCCATTTTCTTCCAAATGTAAATAGATCCTATCCCTCAGTATCTTTTCCAGCAGCTTCCCCACCACCCCACCAGGCTCATGGATCTATAATTACCTGGATTATCCTTGCTACCCTTCTTAAACAAGGGGATAACATTAGCAATTCTCCAGTCCTCCAGGACCTCACCCGTGCTCAAGGATGCTGCAAAGATATCTGTTAAGGCCCCAGCTATTTCCTCTCTCACTTCCCTCACTAACCTGGGATAGATTTCATCCGGACCTGGGGACTTTTCCACGCTAATGCCTTTTAGAATACCCAACACTTCCCCCCGCCTTATGCCAACTTGACCTAGAGTAATCAAATATCTATCCCTAACCTCAACATCCGTCATGTCCCTCTCCTCAGTGAATACCAATGCAAAGTACTCATTAAGAATCTCACTCATTTTCTCTGACTCCTCGCATAACTTCCCTCCTTTGTCCTTGAGTGGGCCAACCCTTTCTCTAGTTACCATCTTGCTCCTGCTCCAATCCCCTCCTGTATTGGTGCCAATTAATGGAGCAGGTAGAAGTCAAAATGCTAGGGCACAAGTTGAGATATGTAGTTCTCATCACAGTTATGTCAGGATTCCACCCAACCAGCCATATGTTTTGCTGAATAATCTACCACAATTCTTTACAATTGGTGCAACCATCACCTAAAAATATTTCTGATTGTCATATAGTTGTCGGGTGCAAAATCTCCCACACACTCATCATGCTGATACCAATGATATAAGTTTTTGAGAAGATTTGTAGCTTGGGTTGTGCGTGAGGTTGTAGACTTGCTCGGTGAGCCAGTGTGTTTGACTGTATAGGTTTCGTCACCCTGCTAGGTAACTTCGTCAGTGCGCCTCTGGTGAAGCATTGGTGTTCTGTCCCGCTTGTTATTTATATGCCAGTTCTCACTGGTCTCCGTACGCATGGACAAAGAAGGACATGAATTCGACTGGGACAAGACATCCATAATAGCACAAGCCAAACAGAGACATGCCAGAGAATTCCTGGAGGCCTGGTATTCCAACCAGAACTCCAACAACAAACACGTTGAACTGGACCCGATTCACAAACCACTGAAAAACAAAACCAGAACCAATGCCATCCACCCCAGCAAACCAAGGCATATAAATAACAAGTGGGATAAAACACCAATGCTTCACCAGAGGCACACCAACAATGTTCCCTAGCAGGGTGACAAAATGTCTGCAATCAAACACACCGGCTCAATGAGCAAGTCTACAACTTCACCAATGATGTAGATAAGGAAGGAGAATGTGGTACTATAGTGACAATTTAGGCAACTATGTCAAAGATTAGCAAACAGCGCCTCAAAAGTAGTAATCTCTGGATCACTCCCTTTGTCTTGTGCAACTGAATATAGAAATAGAAGAATGAGACAGATGAATGAAAGATAGAGCATGAGGGTGGGCATCAAATTCTTGGAGAACTGTGACTGGCACTGGGGGAGATGGCATCTGTACAACCAGCACAGGTTGAACTTGAACAGAGCTAGGACTGAGTTTCTTGCAGGGAATTTTGCTAGTGCTGTTGGGGAGGCTTTAAACTAACTATTGGAATGTGAGAACTAGGAGAGAATATTAGACAGTAATGTCAGAGTACTGGGAGAGATTGTAGCATGAGAATAAAAAAAATAAGTTAATAGGGAATTTGAAGTAAGGGAGGAATTAAAACTTTCTAAATCAGGGTTACATCCCGTGCATGTGAATGAACCAAGTGTAGTAAATAAGATTGGTGAGCTACACATGGTTAACTTAAAAGGGAATCCCAAAGTGGTGTTAATAGGCAGACCAGAGCTGATTGGGGACCAAAATGTCAGTTTAGGCATGAAGGCTGCAGCATGGCTGAGGTATTAAAGGAATATTTTGTATACATCTTTACCAAGCAAGCAGAGATTACCCAGCCCATGGGGACAGAGGATGAAATTCAGTCACAAAAAGGGTTCGAAATTGATAAGGAGGTGGTATTAGGTAAACTGTTAGCCCTTAGAGTTGACAAGACAACATGACCAGATGAAATGCAAGATTATTGAAAGAAATGAGAGTAGAATTGCTGAGAAACTGACCACAATCTATCAATCTTCCCTGGGCTTGAGGTGGTGTGAAAGACAGTCTTCTTTTTTTAGTTTTCTTGTATTTTTGATTGTCGACTGAAGCCAAAGATTGCTGAAAAATTACTGCATGTTTTAAAAGCAGGTAACCTGACACACATTGTAAACACTGTTTACACAGCTGCTGGTTCAAACAGTAGAAAGAAAAGGCACAAGAGGAGCCAGAGCCAGGATAGTTGGAGAATGAGCCAGCAACAAATAGCTGATTGATCTATGAAATAATGACCAGTTATTGAATGACATAGGCCTTCTGCCTTTTGAACAACTATGTGATTGGTTCCCAGGTAGTTGAATAGCTTGGGCTGTGAACAAGATATGGAGAAGCCATTAGATCTCCGTCAACTCAGGTGGTCTGTCTGTTCTCTGAGGTAAAAGCCACTTTAATCCTGAGGAAAATGGTTCATCATATCTTCAGCTGTTGCTGTAAGCTGTGGTTTTTAATCAATCGGTTAAAATAAGGTTTAATAAGTGTAAACCAGTCACCCTATGCCTCCTGCAAACCAATGAAAGCATCTGGGGAAGAAAGACAGGGAAGTAGTGTTCTGACCAGCCAATCCTGTGAACAGAGACCACTGGTGGAAGTTTACAAAATACTGATAGAACTGGACAGAGTAGTCAGGGACAAACTGTTCCCACTTGTAAATTGAGCAACAACAAAATGCCACATGTTGGCAAAAGAAGTATATTCGATGTGAAAAAACTTTCAGTGAATTGTTCGGGTTTGGAACACATTATCTGGAAATGTAGGGGAGGCAGCTTCAATTGAAGAATTCAGAAAGACTTTATATTATTAGTTAAATAAAAATGAGTAGGGTTATGGGGAAAGAATAGGAAGATGGCACCAAGTCCCAATGCTCATTCAGAAAGCCAGTTCTGCAACACAACAATTCTGTAATTCTATGTAACAAGTATATAGATAGAAGCAGCAGGATGAATTTTCGAGGATATCACCCATTCGATGCTGGATACACGCATGGACTTTCATACTACCACCGTCTCCTTGAGCCCTATGGAGCAATGGCCGAGCGAAAGGAAAATGAGGCGCCTGCAGCCATTGGCAAGACCTTGGACTCTTTTGCTAAACAGGGAGGACCAAGTGTCTTGAAAAGATGGAGAAATGGTTATCAGCAGTATTTTGGAAATCCTTTCAGAGAACTCCTGGTGTGGACAGAGCCTCAGAGACAATCTGATGCTGACACCAGTGCCTCACAAAGCTGTAAAGACAGCGGTGGGTGGGGGTGGGGGTGATGCACAGTGTGGTGTGGTGGCTGGGGCTCCTGCATTTGTACAGGAGGTTCTCAATAGACTGGCAGCTAGAGGATGACCATGCTCATCAAAGGTTGACAACGCAGGGCAGGCACTTCACAGGAGCATTAACATATTTTCAAAAGTCCACCTAGTTGCACTTAGGTTGCATGGAGTTCGATCTTGTGGTCAGAAGTCACATTTGTGTACTTGCATGAAATGAATTGTGTGGATGTACCACTGAAAGAATCCTTTGCTTTTTAAACACTACTAAATCACTAACAGTGTACTGGCTCCCAGAAAGGCTGTGGTAGCAAGATGCGCTTTCAGTGAGGTCACTGCCATTGCCATGATGTTGCCTTCAGGCAAATGATCAGGACAATCAAAGTCTTGACAATGGGGATCAGTGAAAGATGAAAGATTCTTTGCAGTGTTAGAGCAAGGCTTGGGTGAAATGTGTCTGGATTATTGCCATGAGACCTCTCTAAATGCATCTCTCACTGCACCTTGCCTACTCTCCCTCAAGAGTCGTCATTCCATTGTGCCTGGTCACCATTCTCCTCCACATCCTCATCACTGGAGGGGCTATTGCACTCCTGAATGTCCTTAATGCTCAAAGCTTCTCCTTGCTGTTGTGCCACACTATCACGGTATATGCAAGATCCTTATTGGGATATATTGACCAATTCCACGGGATCTAGCCAGGCATCTTAATTTCAGAAGTCCTCTGGCCTGCTCACTGGTCGCTCAACATGTGAAATGGCAGCAAAGTACAGTATCTGTACTGTTCATTTGTGCTGGGGTTCCTAACAAGCACAAGTGGCCACCTCTTCCTGCCTGATTCCAGTATGAATTCCTCATCCAGCCTTTAATATCCAGTCACAACGTGAAGACATTGAACTTCCCAATCTTTCAATTGTCCAATCCCAGTGGAATTCCACTTCTGGTTTTATGTTTGCCTCGCGACAACAGCAAGAAGATGTTATTTTAACCTGGAATTTTACAAGTGTGTTTTATATCTATCACTGTGCTTTACGAAGAAGTAAAATTAACAGGCTTTTTTTTAATCTCGTCTTTTAGCTGTTCGGTTTTGCTTTAAGAGAACGAGTACATAAACAGGAGTTTTTTGGTTTGTCATATTAACTCTGGATAGCACACAAGCATAGATAACTCGTGGACGCCTGAAAACATGATAGCCTGATCCACAAATTTCTCTGAGAGGGACCTGCCCATTTACTAGCCCCGAAGTTCCATTTGGAGGCGTCTTCCTTCTAACACAGAATCTGTGCGACACAGCAGAAGTAAGTTCCAGTAACAGAGCTCTGAAGAGCGAGAGGGGCGGACTGCAGGTAATGTGCGAGCTTCTGGTTTTCTTATATCCATTTGACAGAAATTAAGCTCTGAACATTTCTGTACTCAACAACAGCCATGACGTTCCGTGTGTAAAGCCTACTGTAAATACTGGCGAAAGAAAAGTTGAGTAGAACTGACTGCGATTATTAACTAGAACTGTTTTCGGCGAGCCTTGATAGCTCCCAGCAGTCGGGGCTATTTATTGATATTAAAAGAGTCTCAGAAATGACTAGATATTGGGCGCTGCAGGTTCATTCGTGCCTAAGCGAGAGTGAAGGCTGATAGTCTGTCTCCTTTCCTCGGTGATTAATTTGGGGCTTGTGGTTTCATAAATGTTCGGTCAGCATCTTCCTGCGAATTACCGTGCTTCATGTGCAGATCTTGGCGGTCTAGGTAGGTCAGCCTGTAATTCGATTGCAGCCAATCTCGGTTGTTGAGAAACAAACCAGGCGCTGTAACTCTCCTGCCGCGCACTGTTCTCCAGGTGAGACCTCTAAAGCACATTGCCCGAGGCCATCACATCATGTTTACATTATTAACAAATACGGTCAAAATCAGACTGTTTCTGAATGTAAGATTTGGATTCAAGTTGTAAAAATGCAAAAGCAAAAGTGGCACGTTTCTCAAAATTAGGATACAAGGACTTTTTTTATGCTCATTTTCCTGCACAGTTAGAACAGTTGTATTTCAATAAAAAAGTAAACTCATAGAATCCCTACAGTGTGGAAACAGGCTACTCGACCCAACAAGTCCGCACTGACCCTCCAAAGAGGATCCCACCTAGGCGCATCCCCCTACCCTTTCCCTGTAACCCTGCAATTCCTATGGCCAATCCACCCAACTTGCACATCCCTGGACTCTATGGGCAATTTGGCATGGCCAATCCGCCCAGCCTGCACATCGTTGTGATAGCGGGAGGAAACCTGAGCACTCAGAAGAAACCCAGACACGGGAAGAATGTGCAGGCTCCGCACATACAGTTGCCCAAGGGTGGATCTGAACCCAAGTCCCCAAGAACCCTAACCACCGTGCTGCCCAGACTCTTATGCTTGCTTTGGAATTGCTAGGCTGTAAACCTGACCTCTTCTTGCATGGTTCCTCCTTAAGTGCTTCTTCACGAAACATGGGTGGGGTACCACAGTCCCGGAAAAAAGACAAGTGCCAGCCAGTAACTTGTGTTTTGTTTATCGACTGAAATCTCCAAGTTGCTTGTACCTTGACAGTTTAATGTTCACATTTTCCAGCAGGAATTACAATTTTGATCAGGAGCGGGAGAATCATTGATTTCTTTATATCCCTCACTGACCAAGGGTCCATGATTGCTGCTGGGATCAGTGAGGAGGAACTGGAATACCATCGTTATTATTATTGAGGCATTATTTTAGTCTTTATTATACTGAAGTATGGGAAAGAAAAAGATATTCGGCCCCAGCAGGTTCTCTTTGGTGCTTATGCTCCGCACGAGCTTTCTGTCATCCCTTTTCATTCCGACTATCACAACCTTTCTCACTCAGGGAGAAGAATTTATGCCCTAAAGGAAAGCACAGGAGTAATGGCAATGTCACTGGACAAGTCATGCAACTGCCTGTGTTCATGCATCAGACACACGGGTTCAAATTCTACCATGACAGCTAGTAGAATTCAAATCCCATTTACAAAATATGAAATTGAAGCTTAGTGTCAGTAGCAGTGTCAATGGAACTAGGAAATATGATATATCTGCCTAGTTTGACTTGCACATGACTCCAAATCCTCAGTAATGTGGTTGCCTTGGTCTAGCATTGCAGAGAGTAGTTAAGAGGCAAAGAAATTTAAGATGTGTTTCAGATGCTGTCCATCTCATTGAAAAAAAATATATGCAGTTCACTTGAACTGTTCCTTATGGTCAGGAATTCAAATTTCTAAACATTCGTTAGGAAAATATGCTTCTCCTGAGTTTCGTCTTGGGTTTTACAGTACGTATAAAATTAATTTGTGCTCCCACCCCACTTTCTGGCTCAGATTGTCCAGTTAGGTATATTGGCCTAGCCTTCGAAGCTCTTTGTTTTGTGATGGAACAACCCCAATTTTTAGCGGAATTTTTGATCTCAGTTGAAGCACAGAAGGATCAGTGCAGCCTCTCCAGGGTAAGTCCCAAGGTTGCAGGAGAGTTGAAGGAAATGGAGGGCTCTCCTCTTTTAACAACCGTAGTTGCCTTTCAGGGTAAGTTTTTAAAGGTCTCAGTTCTTTTAGTGAATGTGGAAGAGTGAGGAGCTGGACTGGATTTTACATCCACAAATCAGAATGCCCTCCCATTTGAAGAAAAAAATAGGCTCTGATCAAGGTTATCACATCATTCTCTGAAAGTTGTGGGGGGAGTCTGAAAATGGGCATCCCATCCAGCATTTTGAAATGATCAGTTAATGAGCCAGTGAACTTCTTAACAGGTCGATCATCTGAAATTTTTTATTTGTTGCACTGCTGCATTTTACGGGCACGGGACTTGAAATAGTTTGGAGGTCATTTATGACAGCAATGGCAGGGCAGCACAAAGGCAGAAATAATAATGGCTCCTGGGAAAATGGTTTAACGTAGTAGCAGATTCCCCTGGGGTGGGTGATAACATCTGTAATTAAAAAGAAAATTTGAACTTTTTTGAACCTTCAGTATAAAATAGAGACATTTAGAGAGGAGGAGGCTCTTAAATTTGTAACAGTGACCGACTTCCTTGTTGACAACAATACCCCTTTTTTGCATACTATCCTGGCCTACCATACCGATTCGGTGCACCCGATGCTTTGTTTTTATAAATTGGTCTTCTTCACACCAGAAAGCCACTATCGGCCATCTAACATTTGAGTGGCCAATCTGGAATGGCTGGAGTAGGAACAAATGGAGCATTCATATTCCGTTTGGTCTCCCTTACCCCACTGACAAATACAAAATTCAGCCTGGATGAGTGCATGAGTGAGTGAGTGGACAGTTGGGCTGTGCTGTGGTCAGATCGAGAGATGATGGTCAATCGGAGGTAGTAGGAACTGCCGATGCTGGAGAATCTGAGATAACGAGGTGTAAAGCTGGATGAACACTTCAGAATACACTTTCTGAAGAAGGGTCCAGACCCAAAACGTCAGCTTTCCTGCTCCTCTGATGCTGCTTGGCCTGCTGTGTTCATCCAGCTCTACACCTTGTTATCCCATGATGGTCAGTCGGGATGTGTTCAGGTCAATAGGGTTAATCGAGCCATTTATTTACACCAGGCAAAGATTAACCAGCATAGCATTTCCTGGCTAAGTATCAGGTAAGTCCCTTCATCCACCTGCAGTCTTTGACCCTGAGCTCAGCATTGGAAACTTCTACGTAGTGTCCTAAGCAATGCAAATCAGCCTATCAGAGGTTTAAACTTCATCAACAATTACATTGTGCGCTGTGTGAGCCAGAACTTCTGATGGGTCCTGGCGCCTAATACAGATTTAAGTCCAGATTTCTCTGTTCTCACAATGAAAAATTTGGGCCTTTGTTAAAATAGAGTGAGGGCTGCATTTTACCATTCCTTTGCGATCAGGTGGGAGTTAGGAAGATTGTCAAAAAAGGGCAGTAAAGCAACAAATGATCAGCAAAGTGTTTTTGCACTGCCATGCTATGTTGCCAGTGGTAGGATAGATGGCAGAAGCATTGCCCACCAAAGGCCCATTTAACTAGTTAAGTGCCCAATTAAGGGCCACTTCTCGCCTCTGCCAGCTTATTGTCAGCATTGAATGGGGGCGGGGCGGTGGTGGGAAGGGGTGGGTTTCACTGCTCCCTGCGGAGACTCATGCAGCCTCCCAGTAGGTAAGAGTGTGGGGGCCCTTTCTTTTGCGGCTGAGACCTGGCCCAGAGAGGGGCTCCCTGGTGGTTATGGCCTTCCCTGCATCAGTGACATTGAAGATCAGCAGTCAACCATCTTCCCCACACATCCTGATTGCCCACGCCTGCCATCTTGGTCTGCACAATCCCAGTTTAACCATTTTGGATTGTGCAGGGCCATCATTGCACCCTCAGCTTGCAGGTGCACCCTTTTGGTGTTGCTGCTGAAGCTGTTGGCACGTGATTGAGCAGTCAACCATCCATATTAGGGATGGCAGCCATCACTTAATTGGCTGCTGTCAAGGAGTTCGGTCTTAGCCATCCCATAAAATTTAGCTTTAACTCTTTTACAGGACACTTTGATTTATATTCCATGAAATGCTGATAACCATGCTCATTCATAATGATAAAAAGAACTCTGACATACTTGTTTGACCCTCTTAGTATAAAACATTGCAAGCCAACACCATATGAGGAAGAGAGATAGTAGGAACTGTAGATGCTGGAGAATCCGAGACAACAAGGTGCAGAGCTAGATGAACACAGCAGGCCAAGCAGCATCATAGGAGCAGGAAGGCTGACGTTTCGGGCCTAGACCCTTCTTCAGAAATGGGAGAGGGGAAGGGGATTCTGAAATAAATAGGGAGAGAGGGGGAGGCAGGTAGAAGATGGATAGAGGAGAGGATAGGTGGAGAGGAGACAAACAGGTCGAAGAGGCGGGGATGGAGCCAGTAAAGGTAAGTGTAGATGGGGAGGTAGGGAGGAGATAGGTCAGTCCAGGGAGGACGGACAGGTCAAGGGGGCGGGATGAGGTTAGTAGGTAGGAGATGGGGGTGCGGCTTGAGGTGGGAGGAGGGGATAGGTGGGAGGAAGAACAGGTTAGGGAGGCGGGGATGAGCTGGGCTGGTTTTGGGATGCGGTAGGGGGAGGGGAGATTTTGAAGCTTGTGAAATCCACATTGATACCATTGGGCTGCAGGGTTCCCAAGCGGAATGAGTTGCTGTTCCTGCAACCTTCGGGTGGCATCGTTGTGGCACTGCAGATTTGGGACCACACCCAATTCACAGGCAAACAATTTTTTTATAATCCATTGCTTTGCTTTTCATGAAAGAAGAACCATACCCAAGCAAATTTTGGCTTGTAGCCAAATTTCCAGTATGCTTGCCAGAGCACTGAAACATTTGGAAATGTACCCTTACACTGCACATCTGTTCCTCTTGAAATTCTCAGATATAGTATATGCCATATTAAATACACTTATTCTCTCATTTGAACACTTGTCTTTTCTATTTTGCTTGATAAGGTCACAGACTTTTAGAAATAATTCCCAAAGTCTTTTCTACATCTTTATCTATTGGTTTGCCCTTGAGAAATCTCTTCACTTCACCATTCTATGATCCTTAATAATATCTAGTTCCTTTTTGATTTGTGAATGCTGTGCACTGTTTGCTGTGACGTGTTCATATTTAACTCTTTCCAGAGTGCAATAAACAGGTAAATTGTCTTTTTATTTTCATCTCTCAGTAGCTTATATGACAATCATGTGACTCCAGACACACAGAATTATGGTTGATAATTAGATGCCTTCTGAAACAGTCTAGCAAACTTTTAAGTTGTGTCTAACCCTTATCAAATCTGTTAAAATGAATGAACTGGACAGACCACCCATTGGCACAGTGGAACACAAGTGGGATTGCCCTGGAAGTCCTGAACATTGACTCTGGACCCTCTAAAGTCTTATGGTATCAGGTCAAACATAGGCAAGGAAATCTCCTGCTGAGTGCCACTTACAGCCCACCACTACTGATGCAGCAACACACTTCCATGTTGAACACCACTTGAGGATTTAATGTTGGTCACCAGGAGTGGCTCAGCAGCATCACTCCTGATTGTGCTGGTTGAATGTTAAAGGGTACTGTGATAGGTGGTGAAGGAGCCAAAAGTAGGAAAATCATGCTTGTCTCATCCTAATCAATCTGTCTGCCGCAAATGCATCTGCTCATGACAGTATCAGTATTGACGACTGCACAGTCCTCCAGTATGTTATGTGAGACTATTACCATGCTAAATGGAATGGACATTGAAAAGATCTAACAACTTGAGATTGGGCATCCATGAGGTGCTGTGGGCCATCAGCAGCAGCAGAATTGTACTCAAACACAAACAGCAACCTTGTGGCTGGTAAATCCCACACTCAACCACTGCCATCAAACTGAGTGATCAGCCCTGGTTCAATAAAGAATGCAGAAAGGCATGACAGGAGCAGCACTAGGCATCCCTAAAAACGTGCCCTCCTCATAAAACTGCAACACAGGACAATCCAAACAGAGTAAGCAGCAAGCGATAGACTGCGACAAGCAAACCCATAAACAATTGATCAGGCCTAATCACTGCAGCCCTGCCATTTCCAGTTGCCCCCGATGGGAGAGCCCAGCACATCAGTGCAAAAAACAAAGCTGAAGCATTTGCATACATCTTCAAGATTTGCCAAGTGGGTGATCTATCTTGATCTCCTGAGGTCCCCAGTATCACAGGTGCCAGTCTTCATGTTTGATTCACTCTATGTAATAACAAGAAACAGTTGGAGACACTGGATACTGCAAAGGCTACGGGCCCTGAAAGCATTCCAGCAATAGTATTGAAGACATGTGCTTCAGAACTAGCCATGCCCGTTGTTAAGCTCTTCCAGTATAGCTACAAAACTGGCATATACCCAGCAGTTGGAAAATTGCCCAGATATATCCCGTGCAAAAAAAGCAGGACAAATCCCCCACCCATTTTTTCTCTTTTCATGTTTTTTTTTCTTTCTACTTACCTCCCATCCTCGGATGGCATCGGCGGTGGCATGTTAGCTAGCGCAGACTCCAGTTGGAGCCCAGCAAGGACTCCAGGCCTTGAGGTGAAGCCCAGCATGGAGCCAAGAACCTCCGGCCTTGTGGTGAAGCCCAGTGCAGACTCCCAGCCTCGAGGTGAAAACCAGCACAGACCCGAGTTGAAGCCCAGTGCGGACTTGTCTGTTTTTTGTCTTTCGCACTTTCTCTGCTTTAGAAGGATTGTAATCTGAACCTTTAACTTAATTTCCTCATTTTTCAAATTTACATCTAAACTTTCGTACCTAGGCACCTTTGTGCCTAAGATGGCACTGGAAATGGCAACTTTGTACACTTTTCACTGTACTCATGTATCCCTATTTTGTCCTCAATGTCAAACCTAATTCTAATTCTAAATCCAACCTGGCCAATTACTGTCCCAGTTTTACCTCAGGCATTAGCAAAGCAACAGAAAATGTCATTGACCATGTTTTCAAGTGGCACTTGCTTGGTAATAATCTTGGCACTGACATTCATTTAGGAGTGTGCTGGAGCCACTTAGGTCCTAACCTTGTAAGAAGCCTTAGGCCAATCATAGGCAATAGTGCTGAAATCAAGTGTGAAAGTGAGGGTGACTGTCCTTGACATGAGGACATCATTTGACCGAGTGTAGGATCAATGATCCCAGCAAAGCTTGAGCCATTGTAAATCAGGGAAAAACTCCCCACTGTTTGGAGTGATACGTGACACAAAGGAAGATGGTTGTGGTTTTTGAAGGACAGTTATCTGATCTATAAGCCATCACTTCAGGAGTTCCTTAATTGTGTTCGAGACCCAATCATTTTCAGCTGCTTTACCAGTAATTTTCCTTTCATCGTAAGATCTGATGAATACACAAAATTCAGCACCATTCATGACTCCTCAAATATTGAAACAGTCCATTTCCAATTGCAACAAGACCTTGACAAAATTCAGACTGGGCTGATAAGTGGCAAGTAACATTTATGCCATATAAGTGTTAGGCAATGACCATCTCCAATAAGAAAGAATCCAACCATTTCCCTTGACATATAATGACATTACAATCACTAAATTATCCACTATCAACACTTCTGGATTACCTTTGACCACAAACGATAGGATAAGTATTGCATTTACAACAGCAGGTCAGAGGCTAGAAATTCGATAGTGAGTAAGGTAAAGTCAGCTACTCACCCATTAGAAAGAGACAACTAGTGGGGGTTTAACCTGAGAGTCACCACACCTCAGGTGAAGGAGAGGTTGAGAATGCGAGTCCTTCATGGTAACCTCAGCCAGTGTGGGAATTAAACCCACACTGTTGGCATCACTCTGATTTGCAAACCACTTTGCAGCCACTTGAGCTAACCAACACCTTATAGTGAGTAATTCATGTCCCGACTCCCAAAAGCCTGTCCACCATCTGGAAGGCATAAGTCAGGAATGCAATGGAATGCTCCCCACTCGCCTAGATGAGCGTAGCTTGACATCTAGGACAAAACAGCCCACTTGATTGGCATCTTATCCACAAGTTTCAACATTCACCGCTTCACCACTGACACGCAATGACAGCAGTGTCTATCATTTACAAGGTACACTGCGTTAACTCAGGCTCTTCCAACAGCATTTTCCAAACCCATGACTTCTATCACCTTAAAGGATAGTACAACAAATGCATGGGAATATCACCTCTTGAAAGTTCTCATTCAAACTGCACACCATCCTAACTTGGAATTGTATAATCGTTCTATCGCCATCACCAGGTCAAAATCCTGGAACTCCCTCCCTAACATCACTATAGGCGTACCTACCACATGGAAGGCAGCAGTTCAAGAAAGCAGCTCACCACCACCTTTTCCAATCATTTAGGTTGGGCAATAAATAACTGATCTAGTCAGCAATGAATGAAGTGAAAAAGAAATTGCAGCACTCCCTTTAAATTGCAATTGAGTGCCAGCCTCGATTTTTGTGCTTGAGTTCCGGAGTGGGATTTGAGCCTAGATTTTATGACTCACAAGTATGCATGTTACTAACTGAGCCAAAGCTGACACAGAATAGATGAAAATTTACCAATTTAACATGCTCAAACAAAACATACTATGAAGCAATTGTTCTGCTGTAACTACTGTGGAAACATTGTACTCTATTTTTCTAATGAAACCAATTTTGTGTTTTCTTTAAGGCAATAGTAATATTGGAAGATTCTTGGGAGTCAAGAGGACCCAAACCAATAATTTAGAGTGTGTGTGTTCGAATCACACAATTGCAGTCTGAGAATTTAAGTTCATTTTTTAAAAGAAATCAGGAAAGATATAGTTGATAACAAAATTGATAATGAAGCTGTTAAATTGTCTTAAAAAAACTTAGTCATTTGTGTCCGTTTTGGAGGAAAGCCTACTGTTTTTAACTAATCTGGCCTATATGTGATTACAGTTCCACACAACATACTTGACTCTTAACTGCCTTTCAAAAGTGATCTGGCAAGCAATTCAGTTAAATCTACTCGGGATCAGGGATCAGGATTAAATGCTGGACTTGCCAGTAACACCCACATCCAGAGAATTTTTTTTAGAAAGGGTACAGAAATTTAAGGGATTTCTTTTTGAAGTGAAAAAAGTCAGCCTTAAGAAAATTGACGAGAATCATTTAGTAAAGTGTTTCAGTTGAGTTGGAGACATGGCTTAATGAAAGCATCTTGTTTCCCTAGCTGCTTTCTGGAATGTTATGAACCTAATGTTATGTTATCTTTCAGATTTAAATTTGATGTAACTGTTTAATTGCACTGATCTGGCTAAAGACATGTTTTGGTGAGATAATAAAAGTTGTTTATGTATTTTTGGGGGTCAGTTCATGATTATATACTACATTATCACTCCTTCCATCCCTCTTGTCAGCTTTCCTTGCAGAAGGGGATACGAAGTTATATTTGAGGAATGCTGGTAATTGAGCTAAGCAGATAAAATTATTTCAGTGAATCAAAAAGATGAAATCTTATAGACTTTTCTTTGTTTTTACAGATCTGTCTAAAATCTGATCATATCTGATCACCATGACAGCTGCTGATTTAATCACCCTCTGGGATTACTGGGATGAACAAAACATAACCGCAATGAACCAGACCTGGACCACTTGTGTAAATGACTCTGATTGTTTGACCTGGGAGATTTTCCACTGTCTGCACAATTTTTCTAAGAATGCGATGCTGCACACTATATCTTTCTTTTATATCCTGATTTTTGTCATTGGTTTGGTGGCCAACATTGTGGTGGTCTACGTGAACGTGAAGGCAAAGCGATCAAGATACGAAACCCACTTCTACATCCTGAACCTAGCCGTTGCAGACCTGTGTGTGGTCGTCACTCTCCCTTTCTGGGTCACATCTCTCATTCAGCATGGCACCTGGCCATTTGGGCAATTTATGTGCAAAAGTACTCACCTCATCTTCAGTGTCAATCTATTTGGGAGCATCTTCTTTCTAACGTGCATGAGTGTGGACAGATACATATCAATGGTGTGGTTCCGAGATTCCATTGACCGTAAGAAAGATTTGATCCGTAAGATTATCTGCATGTTTGTTTGGATTTTCGCCTTTCTCATATCTCTTCCAGATTTCTTCTTCTTGAAAGTGACTTACAGTTATCAAGATGAACCCATTTGCCACTTGGCTTATCCTGAAGAAAATTTCAGAGAATGGATGGCTGGGATGGAAATGATCTGCATCATCATAGGCTTTATTATCCCATTTACCATAATTGCAATTTTCTACTTTCTACTAGCAACAGCCATTCCAGTCACAAGTGACCCAGAAAGAAAAAATAGCCGGAAGATAATATTTGCTTACGTGATTATTTTCCTTATCTGTTGGCTCCCCTATCACTCAATTCTATTTCTTGATTTTTTGTGGTTTCTAAACCTTTTATCTTTCAGTTGTCAACTGGAAAATTTCATATACACTGCTTTCCATGTCACTCAGTGTCTATCCCTAGTACACTGCTGTGCCAACCCCATACTTTATAGCTTCATCAATAAAAATTATAGATATGATCTCATGAAAGCTTTCATTGTCAAATACTCTGCCAAGTCTGGTATAACGAGACTTAAGGACACCACAGAAACAGAGTGCTCCATGTTGGAGGCAGTCGCTTAATATAACCTTCACTTTTTTGAGCAGAAGCGTTACAGTCTCAAACATCTATTAAACTGCAATAGCAAGTGCAATGCTTGATTAAGTTGTATAATTGCTATTGTAGCCAAATGTTTAAATATTCAATGGATTCTGTACAGTATTTTGGGTGCAAACATTTTTCTAATTGGGGGAATTTGGACTTCCAAGCTTGTAGGATTTAGCAAATTGATGTAGAATTAATGAGCCTATTGTGCACAAATATGCCCCAAAACTAATTACGATAAGGCCAAATGAAAAACTTTTTTCAGACAGGCCCAAGGTCAGATGTCCTAGGGATATAGACTATTGTTTAAATCTTCTTCTTTGACCATTTCCTACCTAGCAATGAGAGAGTTTATATCGAGCATGGTGGTACTACACTGACTTCACATTTGTAAATATTTTCTAAACAACCTGTTCAGTGATGTTATTGTACACCTCTGGAGCAGGGGGGACATGAACCCAGACCTCCTCGTTCAGAGGTAGGAAAACTACCACTGTGCCACAGGAACACCACTATCATTATTTCAGTTAAACCTCACTGTATAATTATTTTGTGACTCTTGTTACTTCAACTGACTGGACAGTTAGTTAGCAAGGCAGAGTTATGCCAAAAATGTGGGTTCAATTCCTGCACCAGCTGAGGTCTTGACCCCACTCTTCACCTACGGTGTGGTGATCCTCAGGTTAAGTTCACTGCCAGGTCAGCTCTCTCGATTGAGAGAGCAGTCTTACGGGACTATGGTAACTATCACTATTATTATTCTGTTTTTAAAATTATGATAATGTTCCACTTAAGGCAAAAAAAACGCTGTGGAGAAAATTTTAAATGAGTTTAACTAATGTAAAAAATCAATCATTCTGTACAGAATTAAAATAGGGCCTTTTATGTTGAAACAACACCAGCATAGAAAATTACATCCCAGGTGAAATTTAATGATAATTCTCACCATGTCTTTGCATCTATGATTTTCCATATTCCTGTGGTGTCATCTTCCATTTTGCAGTTAAAAGAGCAGGGAGATAATCTGTTCCCATCATGCTTCTTGTCGACAGTGTTGTTGCACACATTAACATGCGCATGATGCAATATCCAATTTGACCTAAGGTGAAAGACTGCCTATTTCTGGTTCTGAAATATTGCTTGTTCCATTTCCATGACAGCTCATGTGCTGTTGGAACCCTCCTTTGTCATTACCGAACTCATTTTCCTCAATGTTCCCCTGGCCAGTCTCTCATCATTTGGTACCATAAATCTAGATTCATTTAAAACCCTGCCTCGAGTTTCCTATTCCACATCAAGCACTGTTCAACTCAACCACTATGCATATCTTATGTGACTGGCCTCCCAGAATTCCTTAAATGTAATCCTGTCATCATTGCAGTTCAATAATTCCATGGAAATGTTCCTGCCTACCGCTTTCACCTAGTCCAGATCTAGAACTCTACTTGTGTCCTTTTTCGTCTAGTCTCAACTTCTCTGTACTGTTCTACGTTCTATGTTCTTGTGCTTCCTGCAACCTTTTGCAGAATCAATGACGGCATGCTTTCAGCCATTAAGGTTGCCTATCCTAGCGTTCCCTCAGCAAAACCCTCTACTCCGGAGTTCAGCTGGTACTCCTAACATTTTCTTCTTTGGTTTGGCTTCCTTTTCACCCCTTAAACCTCTTGACATGTTCAAGGAACCTTTACTTGCTTAAAGTTGATACATAAATGCAAGTTCTGACTGTTGCTGTGAGTAACATGAACTGTTCATTTCAATGGCTTTTTTGGTAACTTACTCAACAACATTCCTTGGCTGAAAGAGCTTGCTTTCTTACTCGGAAATTAATTTTATTTATGTCTCCTTGGAGATGTAAATATGTTGCGTAATGAATGTTGGCAATAACCTTATGCTTCAATCACCCCTACTGCTAAAGAGGAGAGTACAAGTGGAGAAAATCAATGATTTCAAAAGGAAATTGCTGTGGACACTTGAAGGAAATAAACTTGTAGAACTCTGAGGATACTATAGAGGAATAGGACTAACTGGATTACTATAGCTGAATGGTCACCCTCTGTGCAGCTAGGGCTGTATGATTCTAGGACTAGGTCATCTTCAAGTATGCTCCAAAGCAAAAAAGAAAAACACACCTCCCTAAGGTGTCAGATGTGGCTGAGATAATAGCACCCCCATTTCAATGTCAGAAGATCATGGATTCAAGCCACACTTCTGACTCTTGTGCATGCAGTCTACGTGACACTTCTGTATAATAGTGAGGGAGTGCTGCACTGTTAGAGACACTGACATTCAGAGGAACTGTTAAGCTGAGACTTGGGCTTACCCCTCAATGGGTGTAAATTATCCATGGTGCTGTTCAAATAAGAATTTGGGTTTTTACCTGCTATTTTGTCTAAAATCTGTTTTTTCAAGCAGCGTCATTTAAACAGATCATCTGCTCATTATTTCATTACTGTTTTCAGAGCCTTGCTTTGTGCAGATTGGTTGACATATTTTTTACAATACAACAATGATTACACTTCAAAAGTAATTTGTTGATTGCAAAGAGTTTTGGAATGACCTGAGGTTCTGAAACACTGCACATAAATGGAAGCCCTGATTTTCTTAGAGTTTGATTCCTGACACATAAAATATTGACTCCCAGTTTTGATTTATTCCCTATTGGGAAGGGCCTGGATTCTGTTTGCTGCACAGTCTTGTACCACAAAGCTGATACCAAAAGTTCATAGCTCTTAATTTTTATGCACCTGAATCACTGCACTGACATATTTTTGGAAGTGCACATTGTACAGCACAAATCTTCCAGCTGCAATTGTGAAGGAGTTGGATTATGTTTTCTGTTAGTGGTGCCAGGTTTTATTCCATTATTTGTCACATTTGCTGTGCATAACCAAAAAGCTGAAAACAGTACACTGTAAAGTCTATTGTACCTTTGCAAGTAGAATTATACATGCCTAAGATTTGTCTTTCAGTTTAGTATCTAATCAAAGGGCTCATGTGGCTTCAGTTTGGAAATCTGGACAAACCAGAGTGAACTAAAGGCTATAACCTTCAGAAGATTTATCATACCTGGAATAATGGATTCTGGGGTATACACAAGTTGGAATCCAGACCAAGATTTCAGATGTATTGAAAACACAATGTAGATTGCAAAGAGGAACTTTGGTTTTGAGCTGTTCTGTTGAAAACAGCCCAGGTTTTAGCAACCATGATATTCAATATAGTTAATATGTTATACTATACTATCCATGTAGCAGTTTAGCAGTTCATAATCAATCTTTGTTTTCATTAAACAGTATTGCAGAGATAAACAGGTTTTCCTGCAATAAAACATCTCTGAATGTAAAGGTATTAGTCGCACCGAGAATGTATCAATACGTCCGGCTTGCATTGATGTTAAAATGTATAAACTGTACCAGTCTCATACAGTATCACAGTGGTCTTTCAATAAATAATACAATACAGCAATTAATCTTTGTAAATGCCTTGTCAAGTTTTACAGAATTATTGCATACTTACAAACAGAACTAGCATCATATTAAATTCATTTTGGCTACCCATGCAAATATGAATCCCATCTTGTCAAGTACAAGCTCCAAGAGATTTTCTTCTATGTTATAATATGCAAGAATATATCAATCTCTGACCTAGCCCTCTAACATTTGGTGCAGATTTCCTGCAATATGCTGCCTGTGAATCTAGCTTCCCATTAGCAATGTTGGATTACAAAAGTGATCCTTCATTATTTCATCTTTGAGAATGGTTTGTAAATGTATCATTATCGAATTGAATTAAAACAAAATATAATTTTTAAGAGGAACTCTAACTTTTATTGTTTGCTCATGCTGCTGAGGAGGATGGTGGGGTATTTTAGGGCACCATATAACTCCATACTACTATTATTATAACAACAGTCTGTTTAAAGAGATTATTGGTGTTGCCACCTGAGTGTAAGAATTCCAGTTATACGCTTGACGGCCTCTCATCTCACTAAAAACAGTAGGGAAGATTTCTTATGAGGGGAATTAACAGATAAAAAATTATGGTTTAGGGTTACACCACTTAGCATCATTTTCCGTAACTGTCTTAAGAAAGTCTTTGGAAAATAGAAGCTGGAATTCCTCCAAAGAAAGGGGTGGTGAGGGTTGGGGTGGGGGCTCTGGTGGAGCAGGTGGTCTGAAAGATTTAACTCTGTTTTGACTGAACTTTTCAATGGATCATTAAATCCAGTCTTTGGAGTAAATCTTGCCATTTAATGTCCCTTACTGCATCTTCAAATAGTGCGATAGTCTTTCTGGAGTTTTGCCTGGTACACATTGAACAGTGAGGTCACTGCTGGAAGCCTACTTTGTACGGGCAATGTGCCTGTTCCAGGAAAACAAATGGACAGGGGATGGATGGAGAGAAGCATGATGAATTAACCCCCATTATTTATGTTTTACTGTGTTTTATCCCCCCTTGATTTGTCAATCATCTTCAATTTTGCAAACTGAATATGGATGTGGAAGCAGTGTCTGTAGTGATTGTGACAGTCCTGTATTTAAAGTGCAGGATTAATCTTGTGTCTTTCCTCCCTCTTTTAGTTTCCTTGACTTTCTTCTTTTTCTGATAAGGTTACCAGTCTTTTTTTTACATCAACCTCCTAATGCGATCATTAATGAACAGAAGACATGGCCAATTTTCCCTTCCCTAACTAAAGGCCCTGAGACCACTCCATTGTCCAGGTTAGGATCAGCTAGCCCAACAACCTAGGAATCATTGGAGGACCTGGGCATAGCATTAACAGAATTTCAGTACTCCTGTGCAAGCTACAATCACCGTGTTTTTGCCTCAGTCTCTTGCTTTCTTTCATTCTCCAACACAATTTATGATAACTACCAGCATATGTAGGCATGAGATTGCAATCTTAAACAGGAGAATGGGAGTTTGGCATCACATGCATGAGTTAACACAGACATATCAAACATTCCCACACCCAGTAAGGAGTCTCACTGAAAACAATAATCTGAGGAGTCCCTCAGTTCGCATAGATCTTAGAAAGGACCTCCTACTGCTTCTGCTCTGTTTTAATATTGGTTTTATATTGACCAATGTAATTTTTAAAGCACCATTAATATAAAGAACATCTCAAAGCATTTCATAGAAAAAAAACACATGAATAACAGATGCTGCACTTCATAGATAAGCACAAAGAAGAACTTCACAAGCAAGAAGATATCAACCTGCTGAAAGTTCTCCCACCAAGTAAGTGACAAAGGGAGTAACTGCAGAGCGCAAAATAGATCCGAAGTAAGTCAATAAGGGCTCTGGTGAGGGTTAAGCAGATCAATGTGCAACAAAGTTTTTCACAAATTGGAATTAGAGGAGAATGCAAGAATGGAGGCCAGCAAAGAGTGTTTGAGTCAGAACAAGACTAAGTGAATTTAAAACTGAGAATGAGAATTTTAAGATGGGGTTATTGGGGAACAAGGCAGCCAATGTAGGTTTAGTAGTTGGATCTGGGACTTAAGGGTATGATGGGATATGGATAGCAAGGTTTCTGGTTAACTGAACATTGATGTGGAAACAGTGTCTGTAGTGATGGTGACAAGTCACAAGTACAGGTCACGTGAAACAGACTAAAAGAGCAGAATTGAGTCATTTTGCCCATTGGGCCCACTCTGCTATTCAACAATTCAATTGTGGCTAATCTTTGTTCTCAGTGTCATCTCTCCCCGTGTTCATTGACACCCTTAGCTTCAAGAAATCTGTATTTCTTTCTTAACTTTATTCAGTGATGTTGTCTCCACAGCCTTCTGTGGTAGAGAATTCCACAGTCTCACCACCTTGTGGGTGAAGAAATTTCTTACGTCAGTCTGAAATGACCTGCTGTGTATCTTGAGATTGTGACCCCTTGATCTGGAACTTCCAGACAGGGGAAGCATCATCCCTGCATTGAAATGGTTCGGCCCTGTCAGAATTTTATATGCTTGAGTGAGATCCCTATCATCCTTCTGAACTGCAGTGAACACAGGTCTACTCGACCAATTTCTCCTCATATAACAATCTCGCATGCAAGGAATCAATCTGGTGAACCTTCGGTGCACTCACTCTGTGCCAAGCATATCTTTTCTTAGGCAAAGAAACCAAAACTGCACACAGTACTCTGTATGTGTTCTCACCAAGGTAAGACTTGGTGAGGCTGCAGGCAAGATTTCCCTGTTCCTGTAGTCAAACAAGTCTTTTTACAATGGGGCCAACATACTATTTGCCTTTCTCACTGCTTGTTGACCTGCATGCTTGCTTTCAGTATACAAGGAGACCCAGGTCGCTTTGTACATCAATATTTCTCAATCTATCACCATTTAAATAATACTCTTTCATTCTGTTTTTGAAGTGGACACCTTCACATTTATCCATGTTATCCTACATCTGTCATGTATATGCTCACATACTCAACTTACCTAAAATGGATCTGTAGCCTCTCTGCGTCCTCCCCACCAAGTGAGGTGCAACGAGACCTGGGTGCCCTTGTGCATCAAACACTGAAAGTAAGCATAAAGCTGCAACAGGCAGCGAAAAAGGCAAATGGTATGTAGTCATCATAGTGAGAGGATTGGAGTACAGGAGCAGGGATGTCTTTGCTGCAAAGGTATAGCACCTTGGTGAGACCACACCTGGGGTATTGTGTGCAGTTTTGGTTTCCTTATATGAGGAAGAAATTTCTGGCTATGGAGGGAGTGCAGCAAAGGTTTATCAGACTGATTCCTGGAATAGCAGGACTGACATGTGAAGATAGACTGGATCAGTTAGGACTATATTCACTGGAATTTAGAAGAATGAAGACAATCTCAGAGACCTATAACATTTTAACAGCTTTGGACAGGATAAATGCAAGAAGGGTGATGATCAGAGATCCAGAAGCAGGCATCAAAGCCTATGGATTCAGCATAAGCCATTTGGGGGAACTGAGATGAAAATTTACTTTACCCAAGTGAACCTGCAGAATTCTCTGCCACAGAAAGCAGCAAACACCAAAACATTGAAAGTTTTCAACAAGTTAGATATAGTTCTTTGGTCTAAAGGGATCAAAGGGTATGGGGAGAAAACAAGAACAGGTTACTGGGTTGGGTGATCAGCTGTGATTATATTGAGTGGTATAGTATGAATAAAGGGCTGAATCTCCTCATCCTGCTCCTATATTTGATGTTTTCTGTTTCTAATAGTTGAGGGTGAAACAAAAATCATCAGGTACTGTGGGGAGTATTTTGCATTCTGAGCTTGAGCAGCTTTCCCTCTTGCTGCAGAGTAAAGTTGCCCAATGCTATAATGTGGAAGACAAATGGGGCATTAAGCCAGGAGCCTTCTGTTTACCAACAATTAAAGAGCATTGGAGTCAATTATAGACCCAACAGATCACAATTTTTTGCTTCTCGAAACTTTAATGCTGGTCTTCTGAGCTCCATTGTGGGTGGTGTTGGAGTTAAGGGTTGCAACAGGGTTGACCTAGTAGCAAAAATATGAAACATAAGGCCTGATGAGAAAACAGAAGTGAACAGTTGGAGTCCGTAATTGAAACCATAAGGGAGCTGAGGAAATTGATCTGAGTTCAATTTGGGATGTCTCCTCTTTCCATCCTTTGGAATGAGAATCTCCTACCATTCAGTCATAGCCGAGAGGAGGACATGCAGGGACTCACCATCAACCCATGGGGTTCAATGTGATTCTGCCTTTGCTCCAGAAAGACTGCCAAATGAACAAAGACAGAAGTTGCTGGAAAAGCTCAGCAGGTCTGGCAGCATCTGCAAAGAAAAAATCGTGGTTGAACGTTCTGCTCACTGGACTGGTGGTTGAACGTTCTGCTC